ACAGGCAGCGTGCGGGGCTGGCTCCTAAATGCAACGCGATCCCCGCTCCGCTGGCATGGCCGTTTCCCTGGAAAAATTCCTCCCAGCGCTTGGAGTCGCTCCCCGCTTGCCAGAGCTATTTTAAGCCCAAGCCGAACTGCAGCGAGGACGGCACGTGAGCGCTGCAGCAAGAATCGCACTACGGGGCCGTTTGTGCTGTTGTGTCTCATAACATCTTGACGGGTTTGGAAACAGCATTTTTTTTTTCCCCAAACCAGATGGGAGGAGAGCTTAACCGGTGCCTGTCAGCTCACTGCTCATTTTCCCTCTCCCAGCTGGTGCTCGGAACACCGGCTTGGTTTTCCAGACGGGATGGCAGCCCTGAGTGCGTGAAAGGTGCCGTGGTGGCCCGGCGGAGCGCGCTGTGCTGCGCGCTTGCTGCCCTGGCAGCTCCAGGAAGGAGCGACTTAATAACCGCACGGAATTAATTGCAGCACAATGCGAGCGCGGTTGCATTCGTTATCCGTCGGCAGCTCCTAAATTATGGTCCGCGGAGGCCGGGTTGTTTATGAGAGGCTTGGCGAGGCAGATGGGGCAATACTCGGCTGTGGGGTGGAGGCCGTTGGTGGCCAGCACTGGCTTTTCGGGTGGCAGGAGCCCGGGATGAAGCCGGTGCCGTGGGAAAGAAGGAAGCGCTGAGCCACACGGGACACCACTGGCGCCGGAGTCGCAGCAGTCCATTTGGATAACTGCAGGCAGCCGTTCCTCCACAGCCTCACTGCGCTCCTGCAGCTGGGAGGGAAGGAGCGAAGCTGCAAGCCCAGGGCAGTCCCTGCAAAAAATAGATGTATTTATATAGAGCATTGCTAAAACCTGCCTGCTTTTGAGCAGGATTACGTGGGTGGCAGGCAGGTCCCCCCTGTGCCCACCGGCACCGGGGCTGGGAGCATCTCCCGTGGTGCCTGGGCTGCTTGAAGCTCTTCTGCTCGCTCGCGTCCTTCCGAGGCGACTCTGCTAGGGAGGGGAAAGCAGCAACGAAGGAGGAGGTGAAGATGAGCTCGGTTGCAAGGGCAGGAGGAGGCTCTTCTGGCTCTCTAATTGTGACTTGGTCTTTCCTTTCTTATTTATTCTTCCTCCGGAGTGGATGGTAGCTCTTTAATAATGGTCGCTGCTACTACTCGACGTGGCCGATTTCTCCCCGCGGGAGAGCCGAGCAGCGAAGCCTGTCATTAGCACGTGTTTTAATCGGCCGTGGTGAATCAGGCGCTCGCAGCGAGGCGGCAGAGCGCGGTGTGGGCACGAGGCGGCCCGGCCTGGGGAGCCCGCGGGGCGCGCGCTGGAGCTTTGCGATTCGGGAGCGATTCACTGCTGCACGGTGGCGGAGCGATTGGGTGTCTCATGAGCTGATTTTAGTGTGTGTCCCCCTCATCCTCCTCCCCATCAGCTTGGGTCTCGCTCGCAGGGCGGCACCGACTTGGAGAAGCACCGCGACCTGCTGGCGGCCGAGAACGAGCGCTTGCG